ATGGCAGACAGTGTGATTGAGTGCACGCTCAGCAAGTTTGCAGATGACACTAAGCTGAGCGGTGCCATTGACCCTTCTGAGGGATGGGGTGCCATCCATGGTGACACTCCCCCTCTACTCCACTCTTATGAGACCCCACCTGGAATACTGCATTCAGCTCTGGGGCCCCAACATAAGAAGGACATGGACCTGTTAGAACAAGCCAAGAGGAGGGCCATGAAGACGATCAGAGAGCTGGAGCACCTCTCGTATGAGAACAGGCTGAGAGAGTTGGGGTTGTTCATCCTGGAGAATGGAAGGCTCCAGGGAGACTTTATTGCAGCTTTTCAGTACTTAAAGGGGGCTTATAAAAAAGACGGGGACAAACTCTTTAGAAGGGCCTGTTGCGACAGGACAAGGCATAATGGTTTTAAACTAAAAGAGGGTAGATTTAGACTAGATATAAGGAAGAAATTTTTTACTATGAGAGTGGTGAAACAATGGACAATTTCCCAGAAAGGTCACACATCCCATCCCTAGAATTGTTCAAGGCCAGGTTGGACAGGAATCTGAGCAACCCGATCTAGTTGAAGATGTCCCCAGTCATTGCAGGCGGGATTGGACTAGATGACCTTTAAAGGTCATCTTTAAAAAACTGTTCCATGATTTTATGATTCTATGAAAAGTTGATGTTAACTCAGAAGCAGTTGGACCAAGTTCAGAAAAGTACAGGAAAATAAATAAACAAATAAATAAAACCAAGTGAGCAAGCTCCCACAAGTATTCAGCTGTCCCAGATGCCTGGGAAATACCTCTTTCTTAAATACACACAAGGCAGGACATGCATGTTAGATAGCAAAATGATCTGACAGTATATTATCTAAGTTCTTTTAAACTGTGTTTGAATTTAATAAAATCACAATAAATATTTCATCAGTCCTAAAATATAGAAATTCCCCAGCCAGGAAGAATTTTTTTTTTTTTTCCCAAGACAGATAAAGTCATTCTATTACTCTGACATTCTACAGCTACTTGTAGCAGTACTGATTAAACAGTGTTTTACACTCCACTACAGACATAAGAGTATAAAGCTTTTTTTTCTTTTTCCATTATCAGGCAGTTGAGCAGAAAACATTACTGACTGACCTTTATATTAATGAGGCTAAATAAAAACACAGATGGCTTCTACTAAGTGAAGGAACTGAAAGTAATGATGTGCTATCTTAAGCCACTGTCCTGCAAAATCAGGGACCAGGATAAACAGAAATCTGATTATTCTAGCTGAGTAAGAAAGCTCAAATAAACATGTCCTCTTGCTGTCTGAATCCTTGTCTACGCTAAAAAATTGACTCATTTTAGAGAATGCTTGTCAAGAATAAGTCCCCATGAAGTCCCCATGAAGTCCCCATAAAGTCCCCATGAAGTTCCCAAGTAATACTTGAATTTTTCTGCACAAAACAGTAATTCAACACCATTTCAGAAAATGTTCTTGAAACATAGCTTTTTAGGAAAATAAGGATAACAGATTGAGTCCAAGGACACAGAGATGTGAAGCGAAATTTCAGCTGTAGGCTTTTCAGTGGGCCAAAGAATGACAAAACAAGAGCAAGAAAGAATTATCATGTGACTTGTCTTCTGTGTCTTTCAACCCTAGCCAATCATAGCTGCATTTAAAATAAACAAGAGCAATCTGAAAATATTGTAGTATGACATGTTATTTCTTTTATATGTGAGATTTGCAAAAAAAGCAACAAAATATTTATATACATTTCTGTAGGTTTCACAGGGTCAGATAGTTCCATCTAGAAATGAACACAATCAGTATTTAAAAATTTAAAAAATAAAATTAAATAGTACATAAAGAGTAAATATGCTTAGTTTTGCTTATAAACCCTGATGTATACAAAATGGCTGAAAATTTACATTACATCCAAATTGCATCTGGTTATTATTGCTATTTAGCTGTAATAATACAAAAGAAAAAGTCATCTTCCCTTAACCCAGACTTTTGGCAATTAACATAGTTGATCCTTATACCATATATACAGCTCCATTCTACCACATCTTGCTTAGCCCTATAATTTATAAAATCACAAAAATGAAATCCTAAAATCCTCTTTAAAAGGATCTTTTTTTGCAGAATTTTTAGTAGTTTTACCACCTACTGGGTGTGTTTGTGTTGTTTTTGTGTATAGTTCCGGATTTTTCATTCAAGTTGTTTCTTCTGCTAGATCTCACCTTTTAGTGTGATGAAAAGTGCTCAGAAAAAAATCTATTTAAATGGAAGATAATTTATCAAGATGCCTGAAACTCAAGCCTGTTGACAGACTGCTGAAACTCCACTGCACTTTTGCATTGGTGGATGGAGTTCCAAACATTTCAGTACCAAGGAGTCAAAGAAATTATTATAAAGAAAGGTTTTACTAATTGCAAAATATTAGTCTATTCCTTAGGATTTTTCTATATAATTTCTTTTCTTAGGACTTAGTCCAAACTAGTTTTAAAATGCCTCAGGTGACAGGTCTCTTTCCATTTGCACAGACTAATAGATCTTCATTCGAACATTTTTCCTGATACCTTAATTGATCTTTTTTTTCAACTTCATCCAGTTAGCTGGTTTTGTACACCCTGGAGACACAGCAAATAATTTATTTCCCTGCTTCTCCAGGTGTCATTCAAATAATAATAAATGGTTGCAGTTTCAATTTACTTACTTAATTTTTTTTAAATCTTGCCACATACCCAAACATTCAACATCACATTTCTTGTATTTCTCAGCAAACCAGAGGCTCCATCAAGATATCGAATGCAAAAGTGGCAGCTGAGAAACATTTCAGGGGTCAGTGGGAACCACAGAGGTGGGGAATGTCAAAGATTGCTGGTACTAAAGAAGTAGCTCTGTTGTGCTTGTCACTGGGATGGAGAAAGCCTCTTGTGCAGGCTGCAGTTAGGCAGTGTGCTGCTTGCACCCACTGTGATGGATGCAACAAACTGCACCTCCACAAAGTGTTCAGCTGCTCTAGACACCAATAGTTTCCCAATGAGTCTTTGCTTTGGATCATTTTCTTGACATTCTTTAAAGAGAGGTTAGCTGAGAATTTTTCTTCTGATCTCTCCTTTGTCCATAGTTTCATTTCATAAGTTGTCACTACCCAAGATGGATCTAGACGGTTTAGGTGATTATTTCTGGGGGTGATTCCTATCTGTGCTACTCTTTTATATGCTCTTGAAAGCCATTACTCTTTTTGATAGGTTGACAGTGACCCCTCCCACTGCGCACATTTGGACAACAGATCTCAAAATGTCAAGCCTTATCCATGCCTACATAATAAAAGACTAGTCAAGCAATCATCCAGCATGAGAACTGCATCCTGTTACCAGTGAACAAGGAGGGAGTAGTGCTGTTTGATGCTTGTCAGATTCATCATATTCCCATTTTGGCCCATATTCCTAGAAACCCTCTATCATTTGCAGAACTTCCTATTGAAATTCATGGAGGAGAAAAAAAAAAAGAAAGAAAAAAAAAAAAAAAAGAGACATAGGTATTCCATCTGAAGTCTGGAATAGTTTATGCTGCTATTGCAATTTACCAGCATTGATCTCTGTGTAGAAATCTACCTTACATCAGTAGAAAAGGAACAAGGATAAAACATGGTCCATGAAATTGTTTTTCACTTGAGAGTTTTTTAGACAGAATAAGCTGCAGATTGTGCTATGAACATCTTTTCAAACATAATACATAACCCTTTGAAACAAGAACAGCTCTAAATCTAAAGCAAAGATCTTCTGGTGGAGGTGGAGAGGAAAATGGCAGAAGCCCCCAGAGCCACGGTAAATGAGACATACAAATTTAACTCATTTTTCAGAGACAAGTACATGTGTATATATTAAAATTTCATACAACATCTTTGCATTTACAATAGATAGATATTTGCTATAGAAACTCTGTGTTTACCCTCTGGAAGACGGTCTCTTTGACTTAAAAGAAAATTGAATTATCCTGGATAATTCTATAACTATTTTCCTTGCATTAGGGA